ATAGACTCGCGGATCTTTGTTACACCACGGAATCCAAAAGACAAGTTGGAGATACCACCACTGATCTTTGCATAGGGACAAATCTCTTTGATAGTCTTTGTTGCATTAATGAAAGCCACACCATAGTCAGCATGTTCCTCCATCCCAGTTCCAATAGTCAACACATTGGGGTCAAAGATGATATCCTCAGGAGGGAAGCGAACTTCATTCACCAAAATATCATATGATCGCTTGCAAATACGGACCTTTTCAGACTCAGATGCTGCTTGGCCTTCTTCGTCAAAGGCCATCACTACAACTGCTGCTCCATGCTTCCTCAGCAAAGTTGCTTGCTCCTTGAAAAGCTCCTCACCAACCTTCAGAGAAATAGAGTTGACAATAGGTTTACCTTGGCACCACTTCAAGCCAGCCATCACAATCTCAAACTTGGATGCATCAAGCATGAATGGGACCTTAGCAATTTCTGGTTCAGTTACAGCAATCTTGACAAACTTCTGCATTGCTGCCAAACCATCAAGCATGCCATCATCAACATTAATATCAACCACATGAGCACCATCTTCAACCTGCTTCTTTGCTATGTCCATCGCAGCAGCATAGTTGCCAGCCATCATCAGCTTCTTGAACTTCATTGATCCTGCAATATTGCAGCGCTCACCAACATTCAAAAAAGGAAGTCCTAGGTGGTTGTGAACATCATCAACAACCAAATCCTCAAGACCAGAAAGCCACATCTTTGGTCTGCCTATATCAGGAAGCTTCCGAGGCGCATAATTTGCAGCACGATCTTTGATGGCCTTAATGTGAGGAGGTGTTGATCCACAGCAACCACCAACCATGTTCAGCCATCCATTCTTAAAGAACACCTCATTGGAGTTAGCCATATCCTCAGGAGTGTCATCATAGCCTCCCATTGCATTTGGAAGCCCAGCATTGGAATAGACTTGCAAGAAGCATTCAGCTATCTTATGAAGCCTCTCAACAAATGGAACCATATGGGTGGCTCCAAGAGCACAATTAATACCAATGCACATTGGCTTGCTGTGACGCAAAGAGGCATAGAAGGCTTCTCCTGTCTGCCCAGAAAGAGTTCTTCCAGATTGATCAACAAGAGTACCAGAAATGAATAGGGGAATATCAAGCCCAATCATTTCAAGGTATTCACCAACAGCGTATACAGCTGCTTTGGCATTCAATGTATCAAAAATAGTCTCCACCATCAAGATATCACAACCTCCGTCAACCAAACCAACACACTGTTCAAAGTAGGCGTCAACAAGCTCATCAAATGTAACATTACGAGCTGATGRGTCTTCAACAGAAGGTGATATGGATCCAGTGCGRTTGGTTGGGCCAATCGCTCCAATCACAAATCTTGGTTTTTCAGGGTTCTTTGCTGTGACCTCATCACAGGCTTCACGGGCCAATCGAGCGTTCTCATAGTTGAGTTCGTAAATGTAATTCTCCATTTCATAATCAGCCATAGCAATAGTAGTACCAGAAAATGTGTTTGTACCAATGAAATCAGATTCTCCTTCTTCCAAGTAGGCCATGTAGATATCTTTGATCACCTTAGGCTGAGTGATACCCAACATATCATTGTTACCCTTAACATTAACTCCCCAGTCCTTGAACTTTTCTCCTCTGAACTCAGCTTCATCAAGCTTGTTCTTCTTGGCATAATTCTGAATCATAGTTCCCATAGCTCCATCATACATGGCAATC